CCCCAAAACCCCAAAACCCCAAAACCCCGTGATGCATTAAAATATGGTAAATTAGAAATACAATTATTAATTTATTTAAAATAATTGAAGCAAACTAATTAATCTATAATCCTTCTTCATTTATTTTTACTTGAGAGAAACATTTTTTTTTTTTTGGAAGCAACACAATGTGTGTTTGAAAAGTATGTCACCATCTTTTTATTTTTTATAAGACATCAGTATCTGATTTTATGTTAAAGAATACAAGTACATTAGGCTGCTGCCTGTCAAAGACTAAAGCAAAATCAAATTCAATTCAATCAAAAGACAATAAATCCATTAAATTCAATTAAGTATCTCCAATAAAATCAATATCAGATATGACCCCAACTGGATTTGAAGAGTCTCCGAGTTTTTAAAAGAGGAAATAGAATAATTTACTTGATATACATGATTTAAAGAAAGAAGATTTGCTTCTTAATACTCATAACACCTAGAAAATGATGTTAGAAATGTAAATTAGTAAATCTACTGCTATCAGTTTAAGCACAACGAAAACTCAAGATATAAATGCAGATTCGAACAGAAAGGATATTTAAATGATAAAGAATATTCCAAAAAATCAAGATTTATCGATTAATAAGATAAATAGACAATAAAGCTAGTCTAAAAATACGAAGGTATAAATTAACAATGATTACATTGAAGATAAATAACAGCATTTAAATCCATAGTAAAAATGCTTATAGGACTAGAGTATGAGGCTGATTTAAGAAATAATGGAGGATTAAAAGTATAAAGAGTCATGTAGGAACTTGTTAGATGAATTACAGGACTATGTAACACCTAAGAATTAAGCAAAGTTACTATCAAATATTGATCTGGTAGAACATATAGAAGAATAATTCATTCAAAAAAAGGACTCTAACTTTTCTATTCTTCTTTCAAAAAATAAATACAGTACTAATTTAGAGGATATGAGTTTCTGTTAGCCATAAGTAAATGAGAATAGTGGTGATGATCAAGATAATATTCCGATTATGTGCCAAAGTCCTCAATTATATAAAAGGGGAGACTCTGACTTTGTGATGTTAGGATCTCCAATACATTATTAAAAGAAATATTATAGTGCTATGAATTAGCTCTTAAAGGTAGAGAAAATTCCATACATGAGTAATATCAATCTGTCCTCAAAGAGATCGACAGATACTAGTTATGCTAAACAAGACGAAGATTTAGATATGGAATCAGACATCATAGTAAGCGAGAGTGTATCTTTAGGTGACTCCATTTTATGACATGAAAACAGGAGCTATCTTCTCAAACTTCTTCCAAATTATTAATTTAATGTGACGCACGTTATTTATAATTAATAAATCAGTAGTTGTCAGTATTATAATGCTATTTTTATTTTATACATAATTTTTAATTCTCATTAATTCTGTTAGCTGGGGTTTTGGGGTTTTGGGGTTTTGGGG